TTCATAATTTATAACTAAACATTTGTATAAAATTTGCTATTTCTAACATTTCAACTAAAAAAACACAAAGAGAAATAATCTGATAATAAAATGTATAGTACATAAAGAAAAAATAAAAAAGATTTATTATTTACATTCGAATTAAATTGTATATTAAAAAAATATATATACAATTCGTTTAAAAATACTTTTACAAAATAACCAATTTAAATTTCGCGCCACGCCGTCCTAATCCGGTCGAATTATTTCGAAACTCCGGTCAGACAGTGTCCGGAGTCAAGTACCGCCTCATCTATCAACAACACGGCCGTAAAAAGTGTCATGGAGTCAAATCTTCTTAGTGCTCGCCACATTTTAAATTGTACTACTGTCAAACAACCGCTATCCATTTAAATTAATCGAGCGTGGTCGTTCCCTATAACCGTTAACGGTATTGCCCTTCTTATCAATTAATCTGAAGCTGTGCGTCGTGTTGTGACACGTGTACGTCGCTTTTAATTTGCACGAAAATCATTTCGATAATGGCAGAAGAGCAGTCGAGTGGTGGTCGATGATGCTCGCGCAGACAACCATCTTTCATTAGTTGTAAAAGGGTTAGGCAGATCGGAAAGCGAGCGAACAATTACGATAATGGTATTTTTCCTCGCGTCGTTCTAACCTAACCTAACAAGCGTACCGGCGCTTGCGATAACAAAGCGTCATCAACGCCTCCGTGTTTTATCCATTGTTCGTATTTATAGCGAAGTCGATATGTCTGATGATATATCGATGCGAAATCGATGGCGAGCTAAATAGTTCGGCAACAGTGAAGAGGTTAGAGACAGACGTGACGTTAACTTCCTTATGTTTTCATTATTGGAAGGTACTTATTGTTTTTATCGTTTCTCTATGGTCTCGTGCTATTATTCCATCCTTTTCGTATTGTCTCCGCAGGTGCAAATGATAGAATAATTGATACGGAAATAACTGCATAGATGTCGATTCGATGAGTAATTCCTCTCGGCAATTTGAGTGGAAACTTTTATCTCGCATATTGACGTGTAAGGATTTGGTATGAATTCATATTCTTGTTGATCTGTCATTTATTTTTTATAAATTATTACATCTAACACTTATTTTAGAGAACTATTATAGATCTGTCACTTACTTTCAGGGAACTATTATAGATCTGACATTTATTTTAAAGGAACTATTATAGGTCTGTCATTTATTTTAAAGGAACTATTATAGATCTGTCACTTGTTTTAAGAAAAATATTATACCACTATTACTTATTTTAAGATAACTATTGTAGATCTGTTATGTTAGAAACAATATTATAATATAATTTTGTTAACCAATCTATCACTTATTTTAGGAAAATTGTGAACTTATCATAAATTATAAACTACAATAAATATATAGTTATATTATAAACTATAATAAATTTATAATAAATTATATAAAATTCAAGAAAGCTTGTTGAATGAAAAACAGATAAATACTATAAAAATTGTTTATTGAATATATTTAAAGTAAAATAACTAACTAAAAAACTTGTTATGATTTTAGAGTGGCACTGTAATAAAATTTTCTGTATATGTCAACCATATATAGGTTATGTATGAATGTTTACATACATATATCACTTATTTCAATATAAACTATTTTACATTATAAATTATTAATACTCTCTCTGTATACATGAAACATTATCTAATAAAAGAGAGTTAAAGACAACAAAAATTGTTTATTGAAATACTAAAAATAAAATAATTGGCTAGAAAAGTGTACTGTGATTTAGGGTGGCACTCAATAACATTTTGAGTTCTACCAGCCATCTGTAGGTTAGGTATGAATTTTTATGTATATCTACTACTTATTTTAGTGGAAACCATGTTGTATTATAAACTGCATATAATTTTATTAAACGTGTAGAAGTTTATACAATCATAAAGATCTAAATATTATGAAAATTATTTATTTCATTTTATGGTAAACCAAAATATTAAATATATGTATCATTTCATTTCTATCAAATTTTTATTTCTAATTTTTTTTTTCATCTTTTTCCATAATTACTATTTCTTTTGGACTATTAATTAACTTCTATACTTCTTAATTTCTTTGCAGAATAGCAGTTTTTATTATTACTCTTTCTTCTCTGTGTTTCTCATTTCTATTTCTATTTTCACTGCCCCTTAATCATCATTTTATTTAAGATTGTCATTTAATTATTTCTCTATCAACTTTACTTCATTAATTAATATTTAATTAGTATATTCCTTCTTACTTTATATTTTCCTTCTCTCATTTATTTTCTTCTAGAAAAATGCACTTATGTTGTACTTGTTTATTTTGTTCCTTTCTTTTTTCTTCTTTCCTTTTTCTTCATTCAATAACTCTTTTCTCCACTTTTTCTTTCTCTTTTCATTCCCTCTATTTCTTTTATATCTTCCTCTATATCTTTCATCAATATTTCTTTTTTCCTCCAAACTATCATACACTTCCTAACACACAGTGTACATCCTAATCACCAACGAACGCCATAAAAAATAGCAAAGTGGCAAAGATGATGTCACACGAGATTATATTTCCACGCGAAGCACATTTTTTCTCCTTGAAGCTTTGTTTGCTCCGGCAAATAAATAAATGTGGTAACGTCGCTGGGGGCGAAAATTAATTTCTTCTCGATAGAATCTTAACAACAACGGACCCCGTTCGTACCCAGCTTACGTATGAGCTTTCTTTTTTTATCGGCGTTTTACAATCGGTGAACCGTTTGTTTGGAATTTACAGATAGAACGGTTGTTTGCACGAATTATCAAACGATCATCGTTAGACCGCTCGAGGACTTTTCGAACGAGTTTTTTACCACTTATCGGTAGCCCAATCCGCATAAAAGGTCGTTCTTGGCCAGACGATAATGGTTCCGAGCAAATATTTAAGTTACCTGGAATTTCTTATAGTTCATGGAGAAATAGCTCTAACCCTTTGCAGAAAATGAACGGGTTTTACTTTTACGCGTTTAATGATGCAGGCAATGGTTACACTGCGATTGCAATGTTAAGGGGGTGGTTTATAACAGTGGAAATTTCAGTTTGACTTTTTTGTGCTTATGTATTTTTTTTATTTATAACCTTGCAATTTTTAAGTTTACAAATGTGAAGGATATATTTTATAAAATATATGAAATGTATGAATTATATGAATATATAAATTATAAAATATATGAGGTATATGAAATTTCAAATTTTTTAAATTTCTGAATATGAAAATTTAAAAATTAAAAATTCTAAATTCCAAAATTAAAAAATATGAAAATTTCTAAACCAAAATTTTTGAGGAACAAAAGTTACAGTATTTGTTTTTAAATTTCCTCAGTTTCAAGCTTCATAAATTTCTACAATAAAAAATTATATGAAGTTTATGAGTTGCATATAAGAGGAAAATTCATTGTTGTCGTTGTCGATCGTCTGTTTGACTTTTGAGGAAAGAAATCATAAAGAGAAGAAGCACGATGGATGGAGCTTTGCTCATCGTTGACGCAAACAGATTGTTCGAACTGCGAATGACAAATATCTTCCACGATTTATGAGTTGATACAGGTGCACTCGGTTCACCTTGACTCATTATTCCAAATCATTCTCTGTACACCTCTTCGTACGTTAATCGAATTTGCATCCTGTCTTGCGATCATCTGCAATGTCCACCAACGACCAATCATTCGATCACAAATAAGAGTGTAGTTGATCAATTAAAGAGTTAAGCATTACCAAGTAATTTTTCATCGAATAGATGAGAAGAATACATTTGCAAGGAATATTTTCAATTTTTTTACATTGTGTACGTCGTTCGAATGAAAGTTGAAAACCTCTGGTATACAGGGATTACAAAATTGAAATTATTTTGAACAATATTAAGAGAATCATATTTTTTAATATTATAATATTATACATCTTTCTGTGTAGTTTAATTAAAATTATATTTTGTTATAAATGTTATAATTATATATACTTTTATTTCAGTTATAGTAACAAAAAATAAAAATTCTCAATTTCTTAAGTTGTCATGTTTTAAAATTCTCAAATTCTCAAATTTCTAATTCTGCAACTTTGAAAATTCTTAAATTCCTTAAGTTCACAAACTCATAAATCACTAAATTGTCATATTTTCAAAAGTCAAAAATTTTCAATATCGAGGAATCTGAATTCTCAAAATAGAAAAACCTCTAGTTTCTCATAATTGAAAATCCCTAGATTCTTAAAATTGAAAAATCCCTAGATTCTCCAAATTAAAACCACCCGAATTCGCAAAATTGGAAAAATCACTAGATTCTCAAAATGGAAAAATCCCTAGATTCTCAAAGTTGAAAAACCATAGATTCCCCAAATTGAAAAATTCATAGATTCCCCAACTTGAAAAATCCCCAGATTCTCAAAATTAAAGCCCCCAATTTGAAAAATCCCTAGATTCCCAATATTGAAAAATCCCTAGATTTTCCAAATTCAAACACCCAAATTCGTTAAATTGGAAAAATCCCTAGATTCTCAAAAATGAAAAAACCCTAGATTCTCAAAATTACAAAATCCCCAAATTCTCAAAATGGGAAAATCTCCAAATTCGTAAAATTGGAAAATTCCCTAGATTCTCAACATTTAAAAATCCCTAGATTCTCAAAATTAAAAATCCTCAAAATTCTCCGAATTGGAAAATTTCCAAAATTGGAAAAATCTCTAAATTCTCAAAATTGAAAAATCACCAGATTCTCAAAATTAAAAAAATCCGCAAATTTCTGAATCTTAACCCATCATATATTTTCGTCATTAAAACTATCCACCCACATCCTCATATACCAATAGTCTAACCTAACCTACGACTCCTTTTAAAATCCACCAAAAAGAAATTATTTCCCCACTAATAAATCACCTCGAAACTTTTGTCTAGTAGTGTACCTTCAAATTACAATACTTGACCCCATAAGCATCTCTAACCCGCATGTTCCGAAATTCCTGTTGCAGGCGAGAAACCTCACAAATGCGTGGTGTGCGGCAAAGCGTTCTCGCAGAGCAGCAATCTGATCACACACATGCGCAAACACACGGGCTACAAGCCTTTCGAGTGTGGTTTGTGCGACAAGGCGTTCCAGAGGAAGGTCGACCTTCGTAGACACCGAGAAGGACAACATCCGGCGGCACCAGCCCTCGATTATCGTTCTCTTCAGCTACCGTCGCAGCCCAATAACCTCAAACACTCGCCATCTCTTCAGCAAAACGCAGCTTACCACGTGATCTCGGTGCCGGGTAACAGTTGAGACTCCTCGCGGCTCGTCTCTTCGTCTTCGATTCAACTTCCTCCTAATCTTCATTCAAATTCACCATAACTTGCCATACTCTGAAACTGTTCAAAATTCGAATTAATCTCTTCACTTATAATATCGTGACGTACGTTGTATATTCGATACAAGTCAAAATTATATTTATATTCAATTTGAAGCTTAATTAACCTTCAGTTATAATTTACTTAATCAAAGATTCTTACATTAACAATATTCGAATTTCCTTATTTGTGTGAACAGTGCATCAGTAATTAACTTTGACAAAATTATATCAGTCGAAATCTGTCATAGAAATTATAGGTTAAGAGGCTAACCTTACTTTTATTTTTGTATACGGTTCAATTTAAAGTTTGAGTCTAATTAGTTGTCAATGATTGTTAAATTGATATGGTATTGTATTTTTATTTGTTCTGATATTGTGACAGTTTATGTGTGGCAAGGAATTTTTGGGAATCGTCGAATTTCTTTGTCTTCTGTGTTTGGGAAGATGAAGAGGATGAAGAGGTAAGGTGGATATTTAGTACATGTGGAGATTTGTGCAGAGTTGGACGATGAAGTGTTGTTATGTGAAGAATGTATGTGTGTGTGTGTGTGTTGGGGTACTAGTGTGAGTAATTAGGTGGATTAGGGATTTTGAATTTAGTGTTGTGGAGGTGAGTATTCTGAATTTTTTTTTGGTAAGTGGTTGAATTGGTTGTGATGATTGGAGAAAGTTGAGATGAGATTATATTATTTTTGGAATATTTTTTTGGAGTTGTTTAGGAGCTGAAATGTTTAGGATCATTGAATTGTCAAATTTACAAATTTACAAATTTCAAAATTTTCATTCCTCCAAAATCAGAATCTGAGTTTTAAAAAATTATTCAGAATTATGACCTTGATAACATATTAAAAAATTATTAAAATTGCTAAAAAATTTCCTAATCCAAATAATTATATTACCAAAGTGTTGAAAATTGGGTTACATTTTTTACAAGATGGCGTTAAATGCTGTTCGAACGAAATAAAATTATTTTTATCATTTTGTTTTTCTATTTTCCTCATTATATGGTAATTTTTAAATTATTTCAAAATTTGCATTATTTAACATTTCCTTTTAATAATTTTCAAATTGTCTATTTCTTGATAAATATCTTCGCGAAAGTGATTCAAGGTAATCCGATAAACTTTTATCAACTTTCTTATTATAGTTATTTATAACTGACTGTAATAGTTTCAAACTGGTCTATTACGAATTGAAAACTTCTAGAAAATTTCTTATTCATACATCGTTATTCCTTAATTATTGCTAATTATTATCGTATTCAGCACTATTTTTAAAATCTATTTGATAAAATAACAAATTAATCTTAATATTCCGTGAAAATGTATTCGTACATTACCAAAGAAATTTCTCTTGAAAATTATTTTCAATAGAAAAATAAATTCAAAAGAAACGACGTCATTGATAAATGAAATAATTTAAACTAAATCATTAATAAACAGAAGAAAAATAAATCATCACAAAAAAAAAATTCTGTCAGTAAACTATTCACAAAAAATTCAAATCGATTCAGAACTTTTCTCGAACTTTCTAACCTCTTGTGTCTAAAATCTTAAACCCAATTTTCAAGGCTTCACACATGTACAGCTCGCCACAAGATGATCTCTGACAAAATTTTTAACAACATATTAAAACGAAAAATCTATTCTTAACGTCACAATTCATTTTCGTCACCACACGAATTAATCACACCATGTCACTGAAAAATAAAGAAAATCTGTTTTTAATTCTCAGAGCTCATCTTGTGACATTTACACGGTTCACGGAATTGTACCGAGAGTTTAGCACTGAATAAGTAGCTCAAATGATTATATAATACATATCTTTTAAATTGAACCTAGAAAAATATACGTCCATTACAGAGAGTAATTGGTGAACGTTGAGAAAGTCATGTTTAACCATGAATAGGAATGCGGTACACCATAGAAAACACCTGGCTCCGTCGGTAACCGGTATTCAAATACCCGCGATACGTTCAACAATGAAAACGCGCCTTAAGAGAGCTTCGCTTTTGCATATTTTTTAAGCTAAACTAGCGGTCATCGATGGTCGAGAGAAATTAGTTTTATACTTGGTGTCAGGTATGTGGTGGTACAAATGTGTGATTAATTCAATTTTAATTATACAAGAAGAAAAGGACACATATTTATGTATATTTGACAAATGTATTCATGGTATGTCATGACACATTTGACAAGTATATTCATGGTATGTCATGGGACATTTGACAAATATATTCATAGTGTTTCATAGTGCATTTGAAATATTCATAGCATGTCATAGTGTATTTGAAAAATATTCATAATATATTCGACAAATATTTGACAGTTTTAAGTGATTTGAATATACAATGTCTTTTCTAGATTTTGCTTTTGAGGTTATATGTTTAAAATATTAAATTCAGATTTATGTATAAATTTAAGAAGAGATTTATGTATACATACATAATGTATATGTACATGATGTACAGTAGGTGATTTGTAAAATTTGAGTGGATATAAAAATTATAGTGGTGTTAACCTAAAATTTACCACTTATTTTACTATAACTATGTCGCTTATTAAATGATAATTTTACTGGAATTATATTGTTTTCTAAACAATAATTTGTCTGCAATTATACTATTCACCAAAAAATAATTTTATTACAAAAATAATTACATTGTTTGCTAAACAATAATTTTATCATAACCACATTGTTTTGGTAATTTTACTAGTTTTAATAATTTTACTAGAAGCTTATTTATCAAATACACATCTTCCAATTTCCGAACAAAATTAAAATGATTTCACATTATTACACACATTTTACCACTAAAAATAACTAGTTTTTAGTTAGTACCAACCGTCACTCGACACCTTGTATAACATAGGGAATTTTAACCGTCCATTATTGCTGTACTTTCGGTATGTACGTACATGTATATAAACATACATTCATATAAATCTATCGACAAAAGTGTACATATACATATTATATATTTACACGTATCAACGTGAATGATGCGATTGTATGCGTGAATAGGTACACAGTGAAAATAGAGCAATTAAATCAGCTTCTTTTCTTAAAGAAAATAGAAATTAATTCAAATCGACGAATACAATAATTTATATAAGAGATATAAGTTAGTTATATGTATGTACTTACGTAAAGTCGACGAAAGTTTTTATTTTTCATGATACGAAGAATAGTTTATACCTATTTTAGAAGTATAATAATTAATCAACTTGTTGCAAGAAATGTTTGAATTTATATTAATAATTGAAAAATTGACAATTATTATTTTTTAATCGATCAAAATTTTTTAGCGAGTGTCTTCGTAGTACATGCATTACGAACCCTGTTTTGTCCTTTCGTGTATTATTACTCGTGTGTATGTGCGTATGTGTGAAAAAGTGTGTGTGGGTGCTCGAAGCACAAATCCGTATAATACCAGCTAGCGTTACCAATTGCACATGCAGGGTTTTGAAATATTTAAGTGTACGTCCACTTACAACAGAAAGTAGTTTATTAACCACTTGAGTGGCAATTATCATAGTGATATATAAAATGATATGTGTAATTTTTAATTATATTTTACTAGCGCAAAAAATGAGATGCAAGGATGTGCAACAGAATTACAGTACAGAATAATTGTTATTTGTACTGCTGGTTGAAATTTGAAAATCTAGAAATTTGAAAATTTAGAAATTTAGAAATTTCAAAATTCAAAATCCAGAAATTTGGAAATTTGGAAATCTAGAACTTTGGAAATTTGGAAATTTGGAAATTTGGAATTTAGGAATTTTGGAATTTTGGAATTTTGGAATTTTGGAATTTTGGAATTTTGGAATTTAGAAATTTTAGAATTTGGGAATTTGGAATTTTAGAAATTTTGAAATTCAAAAATTTTGGAAATTTGGAAATTTTTAGTTTGACAATATCACGATTAATCTGCCACTTAAGAGATTGAAGAATGACATCTTTCTTTATTCTTCAGCAACGATAAAAAAATACCTGCGTTTGAATGATGATATTTTAAGAATGTGTAGCGATCGTGCCGCAATAATCGATTATCGTTTCCACATTATCCGGCATTTTGCATAATATTTGTTTTTATTGCTTCTACCTCCCGCAATCGAAGCCACGAATGGGAAAAAGCGTCCATTTTCGCAGGCTCTAAACAAATGTGCCTTCTTATCAATCGCGAATATTGATTCACTTGACTCACGTACTTTTAGATTAGAAATTAATACGTTGCAAACACAAAAAATATATCGGGTTTGAGTACAATATTAATTTTATTTTCGTTTTTTTTTTTTTTGAAAATGTTTAAAAATTTATAATCTGATCAAAAATGGCGCCAAAAGTGTAATAGTGCATAAGGTTTACACTATAAATTATAATATTTGAAAGATAAATTGACTAAATATTAAAAATATTAAAATATCTTAATATTTGCAGTGAAATATTTTAATATTTCAATATTTGTTATTTTAACATTTAAATCTATTTTAATTTTTCTGAAAATGGTAATAAAAATATTGCCATTTGCAGATTTATTTTCAATTTTGTAAATAAACAAAATAAACAAATATTAGAATATTTTCATACTTAAAAACTGATATTTTAATATTCAAAAAATTGCAGTCATTCATTTTGTTTATTTTTCAAATGCTGTTCCCGCGCAAAATTTCAAAAGTTTTAAAGTAAGGTTAGATTAGGTAGAACCTAACCTAAATTCACACAACGTTCCGTACGAAGAAGTAATCTACAAATATTTATTCATCGATTTACTTCATTATTACATAATTTATTGTACTCTCTCCAATGTATTTTATGTTTGCGATCAAATTTACCATTTAATTCGATGAGATCTAATTGGTGCCATCGAAAATATACTTATATATACATTTTAGACTTTTTAATATTTTGTCAATTTTAGAATGACAAAAAACAGTATATCTCGAATTTTAATCAGATTTATAAAAAAAAGAACAATTTATTAATTCTTGATAAAAAAAATTTTATCTACCTATATTTTTTACAGAATGTTCCATTTTGATTTACAACTCATCAGAGAAGAATTTTAATTCTACACATTCCATTAATGAATAATATTTTTCCATGGAAAAATATTTATCTTCCATTCAATTAATCAGCAGAACAGATATACAATAGACACTCGTTATTTTGCCATATTACTATATCGAAAAATACATGTGGATGTAGAGAAAACAAATTAGTTGTTATTCTGTCATAAAAAAATTATATTTTACTTTCTCTGGTGCCTACTTTTAAATAAAATTATATTAATGTAATACAATTTCAATATTTTATATTAGTATTTTAATATGAAGTTATGTTAATATTTTATATTAACATTTTAATATAAAATTGCAAGAATATTTTCCTTACAAAAATAAATCTATAATCAATTGACAGTTACAGGTTAGAACAGGTTAAAAATTGACAGGTAAACCAGTAATACAATTTTTAACTAAAATATAATAAAACTTGATACTGTAATACTATAAAATTAAACTAACCTTTTTCTTTTCACAAATAAATTGTCCATTCCTAAAAAGTTCACTTCTAATATTATTAACTTATATAATTATTCTTTTTTAATATTAAAATGGTTTTCACAATGACAGAAGAACACTAACGTGCCCATAAGTCCTTGCAAAAGTGGCAGCATAACGTGAGACTATTGTACTATCGCGAGACTATTGTGAATTAAAATGAAACACGCTGTGCAGTGAATTTATTTGTCGAAATGTAGTGAAAACGAGGCAGAAAGAAGGTTTGTAATAAAATTTCTGCAAAAATTCGAAATGGCAAAGAATCATAGCGGCTAGAGGACCAAAGATAGAATAAGTCGGACCTGGTCGAGCGGTATTTATTCGGGCGTTGGCGGGAAATTTGTTAGTTCTAAAATGTAACACCCGAGAAATTCACCGAAGACTTTGGTCCTGTGTGCGTACGTACAGATTGTATCATACCATTAGATTAAGTGATCGTTTAATTAAGATCGTGGATTTGTAAGCGAGTAAATTTCATATTTTTTCAATAATTATGTGCGGAAGATCGATGTGACGTGATCGAAAAGTGTCGTTGTAATTATAACCTAAAAATTATGCGATCTCGTGTTCACGTGTCACTTGTAATTGCGTGATGGAGATTCATTTAGATAAATCAATTGATTAACCCTTAAACTATTACCAAAAGTGTTAATAAATTTAATGTGCACATTTTCGAGAAATGGTTTTTGTAAATAATTTGAAATACTTCGACGATGTATTTCATTACGCAGTTTGGATTTTCGAAGGTTTATATTTTTCATGTGCGACGAGTTGTTTTTGAGGGTTAATGATAGGTGAAATTGAAATGGATGAGATAATTAGGTTTAATTAAATGCGAAGTGAATGAGTGATGATGAGCGAGAACATTTGTGTTAATCGGTAAAACCAAAAATATGTTTATAACTGGTATAAAGACGGTATCGATTGAATAAATTGTTTTTCTTATAATTTGTGTCTATTTATTTATTTAATATGGTAGTTCAAATAATTTCTTCTGACAGATATACTGAAAACTATTTCCTTCACATTTTACTTTTAAATAAATTTATCAATCTTTTTCCTTCTTTCTTTACAGTTGTAGGTTAGGTTTGTAATTAAAGAAACAATAGTTTTATTTCTATAATATATTATTTATTAATAGACAAATATTTTCTATATTATTTTAATAATAATAATAATATTTAAAAAAATTTTTTTAGCAGTTTCTATACTATTTTTATTTCTTATTATTTATTAACAAACATTATAATTACTAAATTTTTAATACTCGTTACAATTACAAATTAGTAAAATTACAATTAGTAAACTTATAAATTACAAATTAAGGTAAAAATCCCGCAAAAAGTATTAAAATTGCAAAAATGAAAAAAGAATTAAAAATAAATATTAATATTGTAATTAATATTAAAAATTCATAACTATTCTTGTGTTTTATTAAAACTGTGTTATTAGAGACAGTTAATTGGACAAATAATTTTTAAATATATGCAGTATCAATTCATCAAAATAGTGGATATTTTCGTAACACCTGCTTCGAAAGAATGTTCGACAGTGTGCACGTTGTATCCTGGAGTTTAGTGGTGCTGTCATTTAAGAAGAAGAAGAAGCGAAGCGGAAGAAACAGGGTAAATCGTTCACATTCTTTAGGTGAGATTGGTTATATGAACAGCAGGAGATATTTTTCTGAATATTAAAAAAACTACCCAAATGCGCAAGCTTAGCAATTTTTAAATTTTTTAATTTCAAAATAGATTTGATTTTTTAATTACTATTTTTCTGGATTTTTACATATTTAATTTTTCAAATTATGAAATTATCAATTTTTTAATTTTCAAAATTCCCAAATTAAAAAATTTCTAAATTCTCAAATTTCCAAATTCCCAAGTTTTCAAATTCCCAAATTTCCAAATTCTCAAATTTCCAAATTCCCAAATTCTCAAATTTCCATATTCTCAAATTTCCAAATTCTCAAGTTTCCAAATTTCTAAATTCTCAAATTTCCAAATTTCCAAATTTCTAAATTTCTAAATTCTCAAATTTCTAAATTTCTAAATTTCTAAATTTCTAAATTCTAAAATTCCCAAATTTAAAAATTTCCAAATTCTCAACTTCTCTAATCCCCAAATTTTCAGATTCTCAAACCTCCTCCAAATGCTCTATTTATAGCCTTTCACGTACTATTTAAAACTATTATTTGTTTAATTCCTCCAGATTTAAAAATATTGAAAAAACTCACTCGATATCACTCCAGAACTTTGTATCCAACACTACGTACTAATACGTATAACATGCAGGCTATAGAATATCAAAGAAGTCAATAAAAAATTCTCGTGAGCTGTCCTCGACGTGTTAATATTCATATCTCGCGCCAATATTGATCACGTGACACGGATAAGGGTATATAAGCGTAGGTTTCGTGGCGTTTCGCTTATCTTCGGTGCACCGGTGACCGGTTAACTTCGTATGACCCGGCTATTACCAATGTCTCCGCTATATAAATAACGGCTATGTAAACAATAATGTTTTGCACAGTAACACGCGACACGCTATGCTGCCAACTTTTAAATTGCTTTAGAACCACATTCAAATGCTATTATGCTATAAAGTTTCTGAATTTGTCTTTTACTAACAGTTTGCGTTTATAAAGTTTGTTGTATACAAATGAGGTACACAAATTAAGTGGTGTTTACAAAATGTCAGACTTTAGACTTTTTATGTTTAATTAGGAAAATTATTATTAATATTTATTTATTATTCTTTTCAATATTTGTTATTAAAGAAAATTAAAGAATGATTATATAAGATGTTTGTTTGTAATGTTTAAGGATTTGTTGAATATGAAATTTTTTGTAGAAAAAAAATAATATATATATCACAAAACTGTTACTCTGAAAAAAAAAAGAAAAACAATAAAGAATTAAAAAGGAATGACATACAATACAAAATTAAAAGAGAATGAAATACAATATAAAATTAAAAAAGAATGAATTACAATATAAAATTAAAAAAGAATCAGATGCAATAAAAATTAAAACAAAATAAAAAATTAATAAAGTATGAGATAACATGAAAAATATGCAAATAGTGAATGAGTTTAGGCGGAACCGTTCAGATTTGAATTTTTAAATTGAAACATCTCCGTTCGATTTTTGGCTGACAGAGCCTCCGAGCGAAGCAGGTGAGAAAAAAGGTACATAAAAAAGAAAAAGTAGAAGGCAGCCGGCATAATAGATTATCGACGATTATCCTTGGCCGTAGGGATGTATTACCAACGATGAACGCCTCCTTCGACGGATAACCGATGAAAGCGCGATAGAAAAAAAAAGATAAATTATACGAGATACCATCTTCTTCCTTTATTTTAGCCGACGTTGGTCCACTGATTCTTCTACGAATTATTAGCATTTTACATTACTGCCTTCGCTGCGCTAAATCATTGAAATTACGTAGGTAATCATGTTATATTTTCCTGCTTACATGCGACATGTATGTTTTGTACATTATATTTTATTATATTACGTTATTTTCCTTTTCTTCTATTCTTTTTTCAAAACGTGATAAATTCTCTTCTGCATTATATTTTTTGTGTAAAAGAACATAACCTGAAAATAAATAAAAATAATTAAATTTTTATGTAAAATTTATTAACTAAGTTGAAAATTCATTATATAATGTAAAAATTTGTTATATAAATTTCATTATACAATGCATAATACTACATAATATTCATTATATAATACAAATATTTATTATATAAAAATTCTCTATATGAAATTTATTATATAATTTTCATTAATATATAAAATCATTTATAAAGTTTATTTTAGTAATAGGAATTCACTACATAAAATTTTATTATATAAAAATTAATTTATCACCATAACCTATAATTCTCTATAAAATAATATATCGTTATGGTGAATGTCCTCTGATTTCTGTCTTTCTAGTGGAACAGTTGTCTGTATTTGTCTACCTGAAACAAAGAGTCAGTAAAAAATTCTGCTAATAAAAGAATCAAACAAGTAGTATAAATGAAAATAATTGTTCTGTAGGTTACTCGAGTAAAACGAGTGTTCTGTACTTCTTCAGATTACTTCCGTTGGAATAAATTCATAACGAGAATAAATATTCATGTGTTCGCACTTTCGTTGCAGTTAAATCGTTTGAGACGATCGCATTTGTAGTTTCACTGGAATTTAGTGTTACACTGATGTAAAAGTTTGTTTAAAATATATGGAATATAATTTTATAAATACCTTTGTAAAAATGTACAAAAATATTATGAGGTTATTATGCAAATTGTATAAAATGTTATGAGACTATTTTGCGAAATCGAGTAAAATATTAGAATCTCATGAGACCTTGTAGAAAATTATAATACCTTAATAGTAGTAAAATTTAATTATACAATTATTGATACAATTGTAAACAATTACTGTTCAATTCTATTCCAATTATTATATAAAATATTACAACAAATATTCATTCGAAAGCGTAATTATTTTATAAAATATCCAAAATCACTTAAAATAAGAAAATAACGTAATCGTCAAATTTATTACATGACAACAATTCGTTCGATGACATTCGACGTAGTCTCGATTTCGTTCTAGCTGTAGAAGGACTTTCGAGAAAGTTCAACTTTCGATAATAATCGAACGCGTTTTCCTATTAGGAAGAGCCGACATTAAAATAGTGCGCGAAAACGGCATTGCTCGAATTGTAAAGAACAGTTTCTGGAAACACTTCTGGCGAATAAGGAACATTTCGGTTCGAAATGCAGAATGCCGCTCTGGTTTCCACGTCTCTGAGTTTATTACCTATAATTATAGATGCAGCAAATGTAGTAAATCCTCGTTGTAACGCAGTCGTTTGGAAACACGGCTTTTCCTCCGCGTCGTTAATCTCGCCTCGCTACTGTTCGGTTCATTGTGCATTTATGACAAGAGTTGTAATAATAATTAGGTATATTTTATTTATACTCTTAACATTGCTTAATTATGACTACATACTTAATACTATAATACGATAAATCTTTAGAAAGAACGATTGCTAAAACGATAATTGTGTGAACACTGAGATGGTCATTTTTAGAGGTTATTCTTAAAGATGTGAAATTGTCTGCTAAAAGGAAATGAAAAACTGCAACAGGAGGCGCCAACCATCTGCACTTATAAGAGCGGGAAACAGGAAAACTCTCCAATTTATATGTATGTACCTTTTTGTTTTTTTATGTATCTAAATGTGCATCTGATTATTGACACAATTTTAAAATTAAGAGATTATAAATATTTAAAATTTAAAAAATTTTAAAATAAGAAGTTGTGAGAACTTAACCAATAAAAAATGTATGAACGTTACTAGAAATTAAAAAATCTTAAAAACTTGGGTAATTAAAAATTAAAAGCTTTGAATGCTAAAACATTCAAGACTCTAGAAAACAGAAGAAATAATAAAAGGCTGTATGCAACCATTAACCCTTCCAACTGAGTGATTGTAGAAAATAACATAAATACAGGCATAAAAAGTGTCCGCGAAGAATGACATAGGTAATGAAAGAAATCGTCTTATTTTTTATTTATCACCCCCATGGGGACAATTCTCTGTCGACATTTATCGAGCAGGTTTCTTGCGACATGGAAAAAAGACACGATTAAAATCGTTCTTAGGAAGAGAATTCCCTTACGGGAAAACAAATAAATGTTTTTACTCGGGTCTCCACGGGAACCCTCCCACACACACGTGAAATTTTTATGTTAATCGTTTGCAGATAATTCAGGTATCGAATCATGCCTGCCGTGTAATTATGCACATATGTTTATTGGTAGCTTCGAGCAACGAGCTTTGCAAAATTAATCCTTTGTTTTGTAGCATTTATAAGTAATGATTGAGTGGCTGTTATATAAGTATTGTGCAATGTTATTAAATTAGTTAACAAGTAAGTATTGAATTAAGTATTTAATTAGTTATCAAGTATTGAGTAGGTTATTAAACTAGTTAGTAGTGAACTAGGTTATTAAACTTGTTATGAAGTAAGTATTAAATTAGGTTATAAACTAGTTGTAAAATAAGTTTTGAACTAAATTGTGAAATTATTTGGGAACTAAGCATTGAATTAAATTATTAATTTAATTGTTAACTAAGTATTGAACTGAATTATCAAACTAGTTAAGTAAGTGAACTAAATTATCAAACTGGTTGTTAAGTGTTGAATTAAATTATGAAGTTAGTTGTTAAAACTAAATTATCAAATTAATATTAACTATACATTGAACTAATTATTGAACATTTATTATTTCTTAATTTTTTTTATTGTACTACATACAACTGTTTAAACATTTTAAATAATAATTAGCCATTTAGAACTTAATTTAACTTAATTTAGTTATGTCAGAAAATTTGTTTTAAATACATTTGTATGCCTGTTGCAAAGTACCACATAAAAAGACATTTAAAGTTGTTTATAATACAAGAAATAAAACTGTTCAATGTTGTTCTGCAGAAGAAATGTTATAAGTTACTCATAACTTATGTTATAAGTTACATATTATTAACTTATTGATAAAGAGAAGTAATGTAGACTTTTCTAGCAAAATAAAAGTGTAAATGAAAGAAAACACTTGATTACATTTCTGTAAAATCTAAAGAAATTTTTGAAAATGTTGAAGAAAATTTAGAAAGAGCTTAGGAAGAATCTAAAGCAAAATTAAGGAAGAAACTTCACAATTAATTTTCCCTTAGATTTTCTTTTACTCCGTTGATAAAGAAGAGCCTTAAACAGCACCATCTACTGGGTGGCGAAAGAAACTAAAATTTCTTTATTCTATATGTACTAAATGATATATTTATACCTTTATACTATTGTATATGTTAGCTGATATAATAACTCATACTTCTATGTTATTATATGTATACTAAATGCATGTGTTCATGTATGTATTCATATTTTTATATTATTATACATACTAAATGATGTATTTATAATTTATACTTTCATACTACAAAGTATATATTAAAAAATATATACTACTACTAAGTGTATACTTAACAATATATTTATATTTTTATGCTAATATATATATATTAACATATATGTACATAACACTTATATTTCAAAAAATTTATATTTTGCTGTGAAAAAATTTAAATATTTCCATCATGAAAATTCAATCTTTCCTCAAAAATAATTCAAAAAATTTATTTTATTTTTTCATTTCACGCTAGATAGGTCATTATAATATTGATTTTTACGATGTATGTTAGCTGTGCATCAGTGAATCGACCGTTAGTCGAACTTTTATTCGAAAAGAGCGGAAAGACCGAGTAGCACGTAAAAAATCCGATACGCTTTGGAAATTTTACGATTTCACGCATACTTTCCTGAATTTTAATACTAATTGGTATTCATCTAGGAACATCCGAATATTAATTTCTCAATCATTATTAAAAACATATAAAAATAAGTGAATTATTATTTCAGTTATTTGTTAAGAATGCATAATGGATAATTTACATAACAATTTTCCTCTTATCTTTTGCACTCAATTATATTTTACACTTAACTAAAAATTTATAATAAAATTCATATTTATATTAAATATAACATTTGTATTAATTTAAATACATTTTATTAATCTTTTCAATGATACTTTATTTTTGCAAGTTTAAAAAATAAAGTTTATGGTATACAAATAATATAACAAATGTATGTAACAATTCTATAATACTTAATATTATAAAATAATAACAATATTGAATATTTGTTACTTAAATAACTCTGTACAATTTTAACAATTTTTGAAACTAAGGGTGAATGACCTCCTTGTAAAATTTGTTTATGTAAAAAGTAAGAAAAATGTAAGCAAAGAAAAATAATAAATTAAAAAGAAGCTTAAATTTATGTAAACTCCATTTGTATTGAATATAAGTACGTGCAAAAAGTTCATATTAGAGTGCAGTATGAAAGTTAAATTGAAAAAGCGTGTAATAAAGTTCAATAAAAAGTGCAATACAAACTCGCACAAAAAATGCAATATAAACTCCGTGGTTTTGTTTTTTCTAAAAACTGTGGTAAAAGGGAAATGCGGTCTTTTTTTCTATCATAATTACTTCCCTTGAGGTCAATCCATCCGCAGGGGTTTATAAAACACAATATGAAAGCGTGTCGCGCTCGTACGAGCGATTAATTCTGTTCCCAGAGGTATAAAACTCACGACCGGCTCCGTTATTATGGCAAACATACTATTTTCCACGGTGGACAATCCCTTAAGAGATATTTTCCATGGAAATATGTAGCAAGGACATTAACAATTTAAAAGGCATCATCAGGCACGATGCTCTAAACCGGTCTGTAAAATTGTGTAATAAATTCATTTTTATGCTCTGATAAAATTATATACAGTATAATTAAAAATTCCATGAAATTATTAGCAACTACAAGAAAGTATATAAATTAGACTTGTACTTACTTATTTATTATATTTATTATTGTATACTTATCTTGTTAATAATTTTTGTAATTCTACAATTATTTATTTGTGATATTATTCATAATTGAATATTTATTTCCTTGTAATAATGTTCATAACTATGTATTCATTTATGGATAATAATATTCATAATTTTATATTTATTTATTAATAATTATATTCACAACTGAATACTTATTTTTCTATAATGTTATACATAACTGAATATTTGTTTACCTACAATAATATTCATCATGAAACATTTATTTTCAATAATATCAACAACTGTATATTTATTTTATTTATAATATTCATAATTGTATACTTACTTATTTACAATATCATTCATAATTAAATATTTAATTCTTCATAATAATATTAAATATTTACATTTACTTTTGGTTATATCAACATTTATAACTGTATATTGAATTAGATATAACAATATCCATAATACAATCTGTATTTTTGAAAATTGCACTCATAACAGTTGTCAGTTACATTTCACTGAAAAAAGAAGTTAATATAATTAAAATTGTTGAAAAATAATTATTTAAATGTTAAACATAGGTATACGCAAACGTTGACATTGATTTCGTTACGAAATTATTATACACATAACCCATAAATCTTTCCACATAATATACCAGGAAATAGCAAGGTATTTTGTATGAGAAACATCGTTTACCCGATTCCAGGTTATTCCTGAAGAGAAATTAATTGGAACGTGATACGTTGTTAGCACAACAAAACACCTGTGTTAACTTTTCGACGTTCTTCCCATAAAGACTTGCATTGTGTGGATTTCTGTACAACTCATTAGCCGTTTTTGGGATGCACCTTCGAAACTTCTACCTTAAAATCGATGTCAAGCTGGCTGGAATTCAGAATTCCTCTTTATGCTAATCGTGGTCCTTTGGAAAATGTAATTCGGTCGATTCGGGACACCGTGACGTTATGGGGTTAACTGTCGACTGTTTACCTAATGATTTGTTTGTCAGCCATAGAAATGATGAAATTCAGAACTGCGTTTACCATCGATATTTACATACAAGATTTTCTTCCTTCATGTTTTTTTTTCTGAAAGCATTTAGGGACTTTTTGTATAATTGTAAAACATACGATAATTTATAAAAAATAAATTGTAAGATATATATTAAGTTATGTAATATAATAAAATTAACAAATTATATTAATTTATATAATTAACTGCTAGATCAATTATTTTGTAACAATTTAATGAATTACGTAGTAATTATTTAATAACCTATTTCACTACTACTTATTTATTTACCAAGTACATAAATTATTGAAAATTTATTAAATAACTTTTTGAACAACTACCTAATAAATTATTTATGAATTACTTAATAAAATATTTATCAGTTATTAAATTATTCAGCAACTCTAATAAATTGTTTGACAGCAATTTGATAAATTGTTTAGCAACTTTGTAATAAATAATTCAGCAGTAGAATAAATTATTCATGAAATATTTTAATATTACCAGGAAGCGTTCAGATTCCAGCGATCACGGTTGAATCAATATCGAAAATAAACAGTTCTGAATGAGGTTGAACGCGTAAATTGGCATGCGATAAGAGATTTTGGCAGAAAAAGAAAGCTTAGAAGCACGACGCTGTAGGGAAGACACAGCAGGTGGTCATTGCTTTCTGAACACCAGAAAAATGTGTAACGGCGAACTTTCACCAGATAATGAGACGTTTATAAAACAAATGACA